GCATTGGGTTCACCTTGAAGAGCATCATTGGAAGCACTACTAGTTGAAGTCTTATTCTCTTCTCCTCCTAATTTAAGTTTAACATTTAATTTTATTGTATTAAAGTTGTAATCTGCTGCCCACAGTCTCACTACTGTGGGAACAAAATTTAGTTTTATTTTAATGAAAGTTCCATTTCAGTCTTATTTATTTGTCTTATATTATATTTCTTATGTCTATTATGAGCTAATTTACATATATGGGTGTAGATGTGAGTTTAACTTAGGATTTTTATACAATATTTGGGTGTTTTTACTCTTTACCACTTTGTAAACTTGGGCACTTAAGACGAGATTTAAACTCGATGCGGATAAGCCGATCACTTTGAATGTTAATATTAGATATTAGACCCAGAGATGGACGGATTCGAAATACGAATTAAGTGATGCCAAAGAACTCGAGAGAGTCTTTGATAATTATGTAGAGATGAGAATTTTGTATGTATTTAGCTAAGGATTAAACATTGGTTATTCATATTACAAAGATATTTGAGTATGAATTTTATTTCTTCTTCTGTTTAGCTGAATCAACAAGTTTCGAAGTGATGAGAGTGAGAACTTTGTGGGGTCTATTTATGAATTTTCACTTTCGAGAGATTGATTTTTTTTTTATAAAATCTCATAAGTTTCTAATCATTATATTGTTGATTTTATATTAAGGAATACTTACATTCATACACATCCTTTATTCTATAAGTTCATTTTGGTAATTTCGTCTTTTAAAGCTTTTTATAAACAAAAATCTAACTTTTATTCACAAACCAAAACACGATCAAGAAGTTCATGAAAGTCTCTGATTTTCAGTAGTTCAATCCCTGTGGAAACGATCTCGGTATTTTACCACTCTATTACTTGCAAGAGATCATAGTGTCACGTGCACTTGCAACGCCACTATGGGAACTTTGTGTCTACTGTGTGAACACAAACGATCCCAAGCTGTCAGGGACAAAGAAGACACGAATCAGACTAAGTCAAACTTAGAAAGAGATTTCAAATGGTGAATTCAAAAAATGATTTTGAGTGAGTTAACAACTATTGGAAATGTTAAAACAGTTAAAAGAAAGCCAGGGTGCAAGTTTAGATTGGAGTTTAGCAACCAAGTATAGGGACCTTGATACAACATGACCTTTCCTTAACCTAAACTTTGTGTAAGGTTTGATTTATATATCGTTAATATTGAATTCTAGATTGCCATTATAGGTAATCAACTGTTGATCTATAGAAAATAATATATCCTCTATCTGATATGTGATACATTTTTTTAAAACTGTTGATCTATTGGTTCTTTCCCTATGAGTTCGTTTGTTTCAACCAGTTAGGAGGATTTCAACAATCAAAGTTTGTTGTAGTGGTGCTGATGGGTTAGGTTCGGTTGATTGGGTTGAAGCCATTTGAAGAAAACCAACCCAATGTTGGCGGTTTAAAAATTTTCAACCCAACCCAACCCAACCCAACCCAACACGTTCATGTTGGTTGGGTTGTGTTTAAACAAAGTAAAATCAACATTGGAAGAATAAAAATAAAGGAAACCTTTCTCTGAAATACGAATAATATGAGTTTTCTTAAAATATTTAGGTATTAATTATAACTTTCCAATAATGTCCTTATGATTTCATTCCCTGTTATTGCCGAGTTGTTTTTGGTAATCTATACATATTAAAGAGAAATATAAATAATTTTAGACAAGATGCTAAAACCATCACCAGGTTATCGGGTTGGTCCAGTTACTTTGGGCCTAACCTAATTTCAACCCAATTGATTTGTTTTGCCTATCGATTATATGGTGGGTTACCTTGGATTGATTTTCCCCCCAGGTTTTCCAGGGTTGGGTTAGCCGGGTTGATTGGTTTTTTGAGCACCCCCAGTTTATTGCATTTGAGCACCCAATGGAAGCTATTCATGATCCATCCGGTCAGTCAAATCTAGAGATTAATGAGAGTGAAATAGAAGTCATCCAGTGGTTGTTTTGTTGCGGGTACAAACCATGGTTTACTTGTATATAATTGTGATCCTTCTATAGAAACCTTTAGGAACGATCTAAAAAGGGTTTTTGTCAATTGGCACACTTTAACAAAACGTTAATATAAATGAAGATTGGTTTTAGCTGTGATGAAATTTCATCCATATTTTCTACTGTATTTGTATTAAACGATGTACTTTGCTATGATCTGAATGTATTTAAAAATTGACAACGGTATATTATGGTTAAAATGAACTACTAGTTTATAGTTTAGACATAAATTTTTGTAATGATATGAATAAACAAATGAAACTGCAGAAATGCGTACAAGTTCAATATTTATTTTGAAGAGTAAAATAAACAATTACACAGATTCAGACATTTCTTAGTTTACAAAAACAAATTATGTTTTCAAATTTCAGCACCACTTGTTATCAATCAGAAGTGAAATAAAATTTTAGACTTTAGTACCTCTTAAAAAACAAACTATACCTAAATAATCTGAATTGGTTAACCTTTTACCGAGTAAGTGATAAGATTAAAAGCAGGGGTGTTCAAAAAAACCGTCGGACCGCTCAAACCGGCCGAACCAAGTCAAACCGGACTGTTTTTGGCGGTTTGAACGGTCTGGCGGTCCGGTCTGGTTTGAAAAATAGCCGAAACTGGGCGGTCTGGTCGGTTTGCGGTTTAGACTTTTTTTTGGGCGGTTTGGACCAACCCGACCGCCATATATATAATTTTATTTTAGTATTATAATTATTCAGCCCAATTAAATACCCAACTTTAATTTATACCTTATGGGCTATAATTATTCAGCTCAAACATAAAAGCCTTATCCAAAAGATTTCCTAAATCCACTAAATCTAAATCCGTAATTTGGTAATTCCTAACCTAATAGGCTAATCCAAACATCCAGTAATCCACCGTCCACGATTACACGATATCCACTATCCACCTCTTTTTCGTTCCTAATCGTCGCGACGTCGCCTAATTCATCTAAATCCCTAGTGTTTTGACTTTTTTAAACAATGAACACTAAGATTGATTCTATTTTGACTTTGTTTTTTGGTATGTTTTACATATTTATTTGTTTGGACTTTGGACTTTGGATTGTTTAAATTGGGTTTAAACTKTAATGGCTRCTTCAATGCTTAGTGGTTGGTATACAGATTACTCACATGTGAAGGACACTTATTTTTTAGTCCTTTTATTGTAGAAAACAAATCTCCATGGGAGATGATTATGATGGGTGATTAATATTTATTATTCAAATTTATAATAGTACATATGACACTAGGTTTTTTGGTTTTAATGTTTAAAGCCCATTAAAGGCCCAAACCGCCTAAACCGGTCAGACCAGACCGCCTTTTCGTGGTCTGGTTTGACCGGTCTGGGCACTTGGTTTCAAACCGCTCGGTCTGAAAATTTCACAAACCGCCATTACGGTTTGGTTTGTGGTCTGAGGGCTTAAAACGCCCAAACCGGACCGCGAACACCCCTAATTAAAAGTGACAATTTTGTACCAAACTTAATGAACCAACGTGTGTACCAACTGTACCAATTAAATTGATATCAATTATAATCGTTTGGTAGTACCGTACAAACTATGCAAACTAATTCTAGTTATTGTTAGTTTTTGAACTTTTATGTATTGAATACTAAACTTTATGATTTTAACTATTTTATTTGAACATTTGCATTCTTGTAAGTTTTATTCCTTGCAGTTAAAAAAAAACATAAAGCATTACGTTTGTTACCTGAAAACTCAAAATTTCAATTAAAATTTGAACATAACGAAAAGTTTTCATATATGTAACTTGAAGTTTGTCCAGTACCAAAATATACCAACAGAAAAAAGTTGATACCAATTAAGTTAATTGGTACATGGTATAAGATTTTATGTACCAATTATAATTGGTTGGTACATGATATTAATTTTTTTTCGTTGGTAAAAAGATTTTTTTTTATGAAACAAACGAGTCCTAATTAAGACAATAAGTTTATAATATTAAGGCTTCGTTTGTTTTTAGAAAAAACTCTTATTAGCCTCTTTATGTCTGATTCGTTAAGAAGTAGAGCCATTCAGACTGTTTGTTTTTTCCAAAATTTCAGAGACATTTATGTGTTATTGTCCCTCTTATATGGTAAGAAGTAAACAACCTTTTATTTGTCTCTTATGTTCTCCAAACCTTAGCAACGACGTTTCTCAATCGATTAACCTTAATCGATAATCTCTCTCAATTGATCCTTACCTCTCTCAATTTTAATGTATTTTAATAGGATTTAAACGTGTTAACCACCGTTAATGACACATTTTCGTTTAAATGAATGATTATTATATAATTCAGATGTAAATTTCGTAATAATAATGAATAAATATGTAAAATTGTATAAATTTATCTATAAATTCAACACTATAGTTTTCTATTGGTTTTTTTAAACAAATTCAGATATTTATCAGTTTACAAAAAATTAAGGGGTTGTTTGTTTACCTCTTAATAGTTCCATTAAGAGACAATCTCTAAATCGTTAAGAGGTGAATCTTGTTTGGCAAAAAAAGTCTGTCTCTTAATGGCTCCAAAACCTTCTGAATAATTTTGTATCATAGGCCCTCTTAACCATTAAGAGCCCTAATTTCATTGTAAACAATTATATTTCATTTTGCACTATATCATGAAATCCTCTTAATCATTTTGACCACTTAATGATTCTGCACAAAACTATTCGGCAACTGCCAAACAATCCTTAATAGTCTTATTGATCCAAATTTTAACACCAACTCTTATCGATCAGAAATAAAACAAGAATTCAAATTTAACCTTTTTAAAAAACAACTCCAACTAAGAATTGGATTTTAACCCGACCCGAATTAGTGTGAAAAGATAGAGGGGTGTGGGTTGAGGAGGACGACTTCAACATCCCATTCTCTATAAAATGCAGCTCTCTTCTCCTTTTTCAGGGTTAAACCAAAACAATCAGCGCTTTGGGGACTTCATTTTCACACACGCATAAACCCTTTACTCTCTCTCTCTCTCTCTCTCCTCTCTCTAGATTTTCTAGTCAATTTTGATGTTATCAATCCCTATTTCCTCTCTACACAACCAGGTCAATCTCTCTTTCTTCGTTGTTTTTCAATCGGTTTGTTTGATACTTTAATGGTTGATTTAATCTGTTTCTTTCGTTTTCCAGTGCAAAGGAGTGTAGAGGAGTGGAAAAGACTGTTTTGTGATATCATATGGCGGGTACCTTAAGATCGAGCTTGCCGTCGAGGTTACGACAGCTTTTATCCGGTGAAGGGCCGATTGGTCCGAATGTTAAACTCGAGTCCGAGACTGTAAGTTTTCAATTTTCTTTTTTATCGTTAATGTTCATTTCTTCGCTCTTAGTATATGTGTTTTGTTATTAAGTGTTTCTATGTGTGAGTGATCATTCTGGCAGGTGCTTTTGCTTTTTATTTTGTAGTTCTAATTGCCTTTAGGACTACATTTTCTTTGTCTTGATGTTGTTATTAATGGATGTGCAATTAGGGCAGCTACTTAAAGGCATTTCATGATTTTGGAATGACATCACTGAAGGAGTATTTAAAGAATGTATAGTAATTGACCCAGGTTTATATACCGGAGAGTGACATATTAGATTAGGGTTAATTTTTCTTGGTTTTCATATTTGTTTACTCATTGTGTTTAGTTGCACTATGATTTTTGATGTCACACCTAGTATTTTTATTGAACCTTGGTATCAATCTTCTTGCATACCCAACAACTCCAACAATATTCTAGTTCTAGCAGTTATAGGCTTTATTATCTTTTCTTTTTTATGCTAAGTTTTGAACTCTTGATAGGATCTCCAGCATATTATCTATAATTTCTCTAAAATAGAGAATCAAAATTCAAAATCTCTAAAAAGAGTTACATTCAACTCCAACAAATTCTTTATTATAGAGAGTTCAACATTCATTATATTATTAATATTGTATAAATTTACACTTTCTAAAAAGAATTTATGTAAAATAATAATAATTCAATCTCACTGGTGGAAATGAATAAAAAATAATTTCTCTTTCCACACATCAAGTCTTAGAGAATTCTCTAAACTTGGAGCTTCTTTTAGTTTTCTCTATTTTAGAGAACAGTATAAAGAATCTGTTGGAGCAAAATAGAGAACAAAAACCCCATTTACTCTTTTTTAAGAGATGCTCTAATCATGGTAAGACTAATGCTGAATTATTATTAAGTTAGTACAAAATCAGTAGAAGACTTGTATGGTTTCGTTTTCTTTGGTAATATCTAAGCATTTGATTAGTATTTCGTTAGAGCTATTGGTCGGGATGCACATTAAAATTCTAAGCTACCGCCTCCACTCATTGGCTTTATAAAATAGATTTTTGGGTTCTTCTTTTCATTATTGTCCTTGATCATTAGTTAATTTGCACTTAGGTTGGCATTGCAAAGGCGTGGATGGGTAAGAATAACATGCTTAGAAGGATTTTACGTGTGCATATGCATTTGATCTTGTTTGTGTAGTATTTGGTGTGGCAAATTGGATTTTATGTGCTTGAATTAGGCGCTATTATGACATTGTTCCTTGAGAGGTTTTTGATTGTTTGTTTTGTTTTACACTTTTATCCCATTTTCTTCTAAAAAAGGGCTAAATTTTGTGTTGCTACAAAAGGAAAAAGGAACAAAAGAAAAAAGGAGATGTTTTACTTTGTTCTTCTGGTCTATTCTTTGTTCGTTTGTAGTGTATTTACTTCCTTGAGTCATGATCTGGATTACACAACATGGACACTGTCATATGGCAAACTTTAGATTTTTTTTTTCTTTTTGAGAAGAATTCTCATTATATAATCAAAATACAAGCAATTTTTAGCTCCAAGACACCATTAAAAAAGTTAGATCTTTAGCTTATAAAACAACTCATATCCTAATATGAGAAGACAAACATTTAGTTATTTACAAAACAATTCATATATTCTAATCTAGGAACACAAATAACCAAACCAATGAGGCCATTATATCCCACCCGGAGGAGGGGGAGGGGTGGTGTATGCCAGCCTTATCCTTTTTCCAAAGAGTCTGTTTCTGTGAAGACCCTCAACCTGAAAAAAGTATGCAAAAAAGACAACTAGCTTAGGCTGAACAATTAGAAACGAAGAGAATGTGGAAAAAACGATGATTAAGGCTAGAAACAAACTAAGAAAAGGAAACCACGACTAGTGAAAAGTACGTTGTTCAAAAGAAACAAAGAAACACAAGCATGTATAAAGGAACATAATAAATGTAAGACGACGAGACATCTTTAGGTTTGTGTTAGGGCTTTGGCCTACTATCTCCCAACTTTCTACTATACCCCCACCCCGCTACCTCTCGAGCACCATTCCTCCTGCTTAGCGTAGCTACTTTCTACTGGTGTCACCCCTTGGTCTACTATCCTAATCTTGCATCTCAACGAACTCTTATCAGAGGTTATGTTCTTGGAAATGCCTAAGGCTTCCATGCTTAGTTGCTTAACCACGTCCTCTTCCACCTGCCCGTTCTCCTCGCCCCCTCGACTGTCATGATTTCTACCCTCACCGGAGCTGCTATGTGTCTCCTGTGAACGTTTCCAAATCACTGCAGTCTTCTGTCTCTCAACTTATCCATGATGGATGCAACTCCCAACTCTTGGAGGATGTCATTCAGTGTCTTATCAAACATGGCTCTACCATATGTCCATTTTAGCATCCTCATTTCTGCAGCTTCCAACTTCCTTTTTGCCCAACAGTCCGACCCATACAACATAGCTGGTCTGTATTGCTACCCTATAAAGTTTATCTTTTAGTTTAGCAGGACGTCTTGTCACACAGCACCACTGTGGCAACCCTCTGCATCAGGTACCCGTCTTTATGCGATGTGTTATGTCATCCTCCATCTCAAATATTTAAAAGTGCTTATAGGAAAAGTAATATATTTTATTGGCTTATTTGTTGTATATAATACTGGCTTTAGTTGTTACAAGTAATTTTGTGGAATTTTAATGGACAACTAATATCTTTGACATCCCCACTCTAAGTGATGTCGGTAAATTTACAAACACCAATATGCCACAAAGAAAATTATGCGCTGATGTGCCAGAATTTGGTGAATGTATTGGCATTCTGCCCAGTGGTGGAGGTATGTGGGAGGTTGATAACCCGATGATCATGTGCCTCTCTAATAAATTGGCGGTCAACTTCTATGTGTTTTGTATGCTCATGGAGGACAGGGTTGGCAACAACTTGGATGGGTTGAACTTGGGAAGACCAAGTTCCGTAAAGAGACCACATACCCAAATAATCTCACACATGTTGTAAACACAACATGATACTTTGCCTCGGTAGATAAGTTGAACAAACATTTTTACTTTTTGCATTTTGATGGGATAAGAGCATCAACAAGAAACATAACTTCTAGTAGTAGATTTTCTTGCATCTTGGCAACATGCCTGATCTGCATCAATTTAGGTTTGTTCGGAAGAATTGGCCACTTGAGGTGTGCCAAGGATGTACAAGATGATGCACACAATTGTAGGTAGGTGGAGATGTTGAATGGAGTGCATGGATCTATCAGGCGTTGGGCAAAAGTCTAATCTATCTAACCATCACTTGACCAGCTATTTCTTATGTTGTCCAGACTGTAAAGTAGGATTCTCAAGAAGCTTTCTTTATCCTCATTTATATTTTTGTACTACTTTCCATTGGGGTGTCTAAAGAATGTGGCTGGTGAATGCAGCTAATTATACGAAATCTTGAATATACTTGTGTTGATTAAAAGAAATCACTTGAGGTTGATGATGCATCTTCTACCCTAGGGGAAAAAAGTAAGTTGGCCAAAGTCTTATATGTGGAAAGTAGAATACAATTTCTTAGTCGTAGCTTGCATATCAGGATCTGGGACAAGGATGCTGTCCACATAGAAGAGAAAAGCAACTATCCTCATAGACATTTTTTGAATAAAAAGGGAAATGTTTATCATAACTTTTCCAACCATACTCAGACTGCCTACTTCATGCCGTATCATTAGGTGCAGAAGTAGGCATACATGAGGAGGTATAATGTAGAAATTTTTGAGCCCACAATTTAAAAATGAATTCTTGATATCTATTTGATTTTTAAAGTGAAGGCCATGACTGAGATGCACCAAAGGCTAGTATGGTTCAGAAAGTGGTCTTTTAAGCTACCAATGTGAAATTCTTATTGTATTAGAAGTCGTAAGAAAGTATTATGCAAACTTCTTTTAGCTCACAATGTAAAAGTGCATTCTTAATGTCAGTATGAAGTAAAGGCCATGTCTGAGATGCAACAAGGGCTAATATGGTTTGAAGTGAACAATGGCTTTTTTTAGCTATCTTTGCAAAAGTCCCATTGTAGTCAAAGCCATACTTCTGTTTGTTCACTAGAACTACTAGCTGAGCATTGGAATACTCAATTGATCCAGTACAATCAAACTTGATTTAAAATACAATTTTGTAAGGCTTCACGGACAGGGGACCTGTTGGCACATCCCAAATTTGGTTTTCTTCAAGTGCCAGAAGCTTTGTTTCAATAGATTTCTGCCAACATTTCATGTTTCATCGCTGCATAGACCCACATTCTGATTATTGAAACATCTTGAAAGCCTGAAGTCCTTGTAGAACATATAGGGAAATTAGTGCTTGCAGAAAAAGAGTGACACATACTTCATGTGGCCATCTCATCGTCTAGCCCTTGCCTGCTTGTTAGTGTCTTCTTTTACACAGCAAAACATGTTTATAAAAAGGGAAAATTTACACAAAAAAACTGGAAGAAGATGATAGATATGCCCCTTCCGTAATGGTGGTTTCAAGCAAATAACCACAAAGAAAGTTTCATGTTAAGAATGGTGGTTTCAAGCAAATAACCACACAAGGATATGATTAAGTGCAACCTTTAGTTGTTGATGGTTTGATGCTATTGTCTTATCTTGTAATGTATAAAAAGCAATCCACTTACTTCTATCACTCTTCTCTTGTTCTTCAAAACATTAGTCATATGCTTTTTGTCTTATTTGCAGCCTCCAAAAGTAAAAGCATTTATCGACAAGGTGATTCTGTGTCCATTGCAAGACATAGCAATCCCTCTTTCGGGTTTCCGCTGGGAGTATGACAAGGTGATAAATTATATGGCATATCAATTTTGAGTGAATTTTCTGCATGGTACTAGGCTAAATTGGTACTCATTTTTCAGGGAAATTTTCATCATTGGAGGCCACTGTTCATGCACTTTGATACATACTTCAAGACATACTTGTCTGCTAGAAAGGATCTCCTTTTGGCAGATAATATCATAGAAGAGGATGGTCCTTTTCCAAAGCAATCAGTTCTTCAAATTCTGCGCGTGATGCAAATCATTTTAGAGAATTGCCACAACAAGGGTTCATTTAGCGGTTTAGAGGTATGGTGGAAATGGTAGAATAAGAACATTTTAATTGGTGTCAGCATAAGCGTTGATGTGTATTCCGTTGACTCCTTTACCCGAAAACTATTAGGATTCGTGTCTGAAGTGTGGTTTTGTTTGTGCAGCATTTCAAGCTCTTACTTGCATCAACTGACCCAGAGGTTCTCATTGCAACCTTGGAGACACTTTCAACATTAGTGAAAATAAATCCCTCGAAACTTCATGCTAGTGGGAAGCTGGTAGGATGTGGTCCAATAAACAATTGTCTTTTGTCATTAGCGCAAGGATGGGGAAGCAAGGAAGAGGGTTTGGGCTTGTATTCATGTGTTATTTTGAATGAGCGAACTCAAGATGACGGTCTATCTTTATTTCCTTCCGATGTACCTACTGATAGTGGTAATTCTCAGAATCGCTTGGGGTCCAGCCTGTATTTTGAGTTTCATGGCCCGTGTACCCAAACCGCGGGTGAAGTCGGCAATTTGACGTCACTCCCCAGCACGACTGTCATTCACATTCCAGATCTTCATATGTGGAAGGAGGATGATCTGTCTATATTGAAGCTATTGGTTGAGCAGTACAATGTACCTCCTGAGCATAGGTTCTTGTTGCTGACAAGGGTTAGATATGCCCATGCCTTCCGTTCCCCCAGAATATGCAGGCTGTACAGCAAGATATGCCTTCTTGCCTTCATTGTCCTTGTTCAGTCTAATGATTCTCATGAAGAACTTGTATCCTTTTTTGCTAATGAGCCAGAGTATACAAATGAGTTAATAAGACTTGTGAAGTCTGAAGAGACTATATCTCGAACTATTCGTACACTTGCTATGCATGCTCTGGGATCTCAGCTAGCTGCATATTCATCATCTCATGAGAGGGCACGCATTCTGAGCGGATTAAGCATTAGCTTTGCAGTCGGAAACCGTGTGATTCTCCTTAATGTATTGCAAAGGGCGATTTCTTCTTTGAATAACTCCAGTGATCCACCATCTATTGCATTCCTTGAAGCACTCCTCCAATTTTACTTGCTTCAAGTGATATCAACTTCAAGTCCTGGGAGTGTTATACGGGGATCAGGAATGGTTCCAACATTTTTACCTCTCTTAGAGGATACGGATCCTACACACATGCATCTTGTCTGTTTAGCGGTGAAGACTCTGCAAAAGCTCATGGACTACAGCAATTCAGCAGTCACTCTTTTCCGAGACTTGGGAGGAGTTGAGCTTTTGACCAGCAGACTGCAGATAGAAGTAGTTAGGGTGATTGATTCAACTACAGGAGATGATAGTTCAATGAGCATTGGAGAGTGCTCAGACACAAGTGACGATCAGCTTTATTCACAGAAGAGGCTCATCACGGTTTTATTGAAGGCACTTGGTTCTGCTAATTATGCTCCAGCAAACTCTACGAGATCTCAGAGTGCTCATGATGTCTCCCTGCCTGACACTATCTCAATGATCTTTAAGAAGGTGGATAAATTTGGAGGAGATATATATTCCTCGGCTGTGACTGTAATGTGTGAAATGATTCACAAAGACCCCACCTGCTATGCTGCATTGGATGAAGCGGGTCTTCCTGATGCCTTTTTATCATCTGTGAGAGCTGGAGTTCTTCCTTCTTCAAAATCTCTCACATGTGTTCCCAACGGTCTTGGGGCTATTTGTCTCAATGCTACAGGATTAGAAGCAGTCAGAGAAACTTCAGCATTGAGGTTTCTGGTTGACATTTTCACTGACAAGAAATATGTCCTTCCAATGAATGATGGCATTGTGCCTTTGGCAAATGCCATTGAGGAGCTTATGCGTCATGTCTCCTCACTGAGAAGCACGGGTGTAGATTTGATTATTGAAATTATTAATAAAATTTCATCAACAGATGACAATAAATGTACATTACAATCTGGAAAAGCCAATGGGAGTGTTATGGATATGGACACTGAAGAAAAGGAAAATGCAGGCCCTTGTTTGGTTGGTGCTACAGATTCAACCTTGGAAGGAGTTAGTGACGAGCATTTCATCCAATTAAACATTTCTCACGTGATGGTGTTGGTTCATCGAACAATGGAAAATGCTGAAACATGTAGGCTGTTTGTGGAAAAAGCAGGTATTGAAGCTTTGCTGAAGCTTTTGTTACGACCAAGTATAACTCAATCATCTGAAGGGATGTCTATTGCTTTGCATAGCACAATGGTTTTTAAGAGTTTTACTCAGCATCACTCTGCTCCTTTAGCACGTGCCTTTTGTTCCTCTCTCCGGGATTATCTGAAGACAACTTTGGCCGCATTCAGTGTTCTTTCAGGATCCTTTCTGCTGGATCCCAAATTCACACCAGATACAGAAGTCTTCCCTTCGCTTTTTCTTGTTGAATTTCTTCTGTTTCTAGCTGCCTCAAAGGACAATCGATGGGTTACTGCATTGCTCCAAGAATTTGGAAATGGTAGCAAGGATGTACTGGAAGATATTGGAAGAATTCACCGCGAGATTTTATGGCAGATTGCATTACTCGAAGATGCTAAGTTTGAAATTGAGGATGCCAGTGCTGGTACTGCTGATGAATCACGGCTTTCAGAATCTGAAGAGCAAAGATTTAATTCCTTTAGGCAGTTCCTTGATCCTTTAATGAGGAGAAGAATGTCAGGATGGAGTTTTGAGTCCCAGTTTTTTGATCTGATTAATCTGTATCGTGATCTCACTCATGCTTCTGGATTTCAACAGAGGCATAACACAGGTGGTCCTTCAGAACTGCGTCTTGGAGCCAGTCATCGGTCACATCCCTCTGGATCTTCGGACATGATGCGGTCGCTCTCTTTGCACATAACACATTTGTTTCAAGAGCTAGGGAAAGCTATGTTGCTTCCTTCTCGAAGACGAGATGATATGGTGACAGTGACCCCATCTTCAAGATCTGTGGCTTCTACATTTGCTTCCATCACACTGGATCATATGAATTTTGAAGGTCATGTAAAGCCTTTTGGATCAGTGGCATCCTGGTCAACGAAGTGCCGCTACCTAGGGAAGGTTGTGGATTTTATTGATGGCATTCTACTGGACAAACCTGATTCTTGTAATCCTGTCTTGTTGAATTGTTTGTATGGTCTTGGGGTTCTTCAGTCAGTTCTGACCACATTTGAAGCTACCAGTGACCTGCTTTTCACTGTCAACAGGACTCCTACATCTCCAATGGAGACTGATGAGGGAGTTTCAAAGCTCAATGACGTAGAAGAAACAGTTCGTACGTGGATTAATGGTCCATTAGCCAACTATGGTAGACTTATGGACCACCTTGTGACTTCCTCTTTTATTTTGTCTCCTTCTACAAAGCATTTGCTTGCACAGCCCCTTGTAAATGGAGATATTCCCTTTCCACGGGATCCCGAGGTTTTTGTGAAGATCCTGCAATCTATGATTCTGAAAGCTGTGCTTCCTCTCTGGACTCATCCTCATTTTACTGATTGCAATGATGATTTCATTGCTACTGTGATATCTATTATCCGCCATGTCTTTTCTGGGATTGAAGTGAAAAGTGTAAGCAATGTTGGATCTCGTCCTTCTGCTCCTCCTCCGAGCGAGACAACTATATCCACAATAGTTGAAATGGGGTTTTCCAGATCTCGAGCAGAGGAGGCCTTGAGACAAGTTGGATCAAACAGTGTAGAGTTGGCCATGGAATGGCTGTTCTCACATCCAGAGCAAGTCCAAGAAGATGATGAACTTGCTCGTGCACTTGCTATGTCTCTTGGTAACTCTGCATCTGATGCTAAAGATACTATTGCAAATGAAACTGATCAGCATATTGAAGAGGAAAATGTGCAGTTGCCTCCTGTTGATGAATTGTTATCTACATGTAAAAAGCTTTTAGAAACAAAGGATTCTCTAGCATTTTCAGTTCGGAACCTTCTTTTAATGATATGTTCCCAGGACGATGGTCGTTGCAGGTCCAAAGTTATAACGTTTATCCTGGAGCAGGTGAAGTTTTGCAGTTCCGTTGCTGAGAGTGGAAAGAATACCATGCTATCTTCCCTCTTTCATGTTCTTGCTTTGCTTCTCAATGAGGATAAGGACTCAAGGGAAGTTGCTTCCAAGGGTGGTCTGGTTAAAGTTGCTGCAGATCTTTTGTCACACTGGATCGCTGGTACACATGAGCATGAGGCTTTTGAAGTTCCTAAATGGGTTACAGCAGCTTTTCTTGCTGTTGATCGGCTTGCTCAGGTGGATCAAAAGCTGAATGCTGATATTTCAGAGCTATTAAAGAAAGATGATGTTGGTAAGCAGACTGTAGTTATAGATGAGGACAAACCAAATTTAGGATTATCCTCAAAGCATGTTAATATAGAGGAGCAGAAGAGACTTGTTGAGATATCCTGTGGTTATTTGAGGAATCAGCTTTCTGCTGAAACAATTTATGCTGTTCTGCAGCTATGTTCCACACTTACAAGAACTCATTCTGTTGCTGTTAGCTTCTTAAATGCTGGGGGCTTGCCTTTGCTGCTATCTTTGCCTGCAGGTAGTCTGTTTGTTGGCTTTGATAACGTTGCTGCTACTATTATTCGTCATATTCTTGAAGACCCACAGACTCTCCAGCAGGCAATGGAATCTGAAATACGTCAGAGTGTTCTTACAGCTGCCAATAGGCAGTCTAATGGAAGACTTACACCCCGTAGCTTCCTCTTGAATTTGACTTCTGTGATTTCAAGGGACCCTGTGATTTTCATGCGGGCTGCCCAATCTGTTTGCCAAATTGAGATGGTTGGTGAAAGACCGTACGTTGTATTGCTAAAAGACCGTGAGAAGGATAAGTCCAAAGAAAAAGAGAAGGAGAAAGAGAACGAGAAAGAAAAAACACAGACCGCCTCTGGTAAGAGTAATACAAGCAACACAAACTCGTTGGGTCCAGGGAGTGTGAATGGCAAACTTTCTGAGGCAAATACCAAGCATGCCAAAGTTCATCGTAAACCTCCTCAGAGTTTTGTAAATGTAGTCGAGCTGCTTTTGGCTTCAGTTGTCACTTTTGTACCTCCTGCAAAAGATGAGGCATTTACGGGAGAGAGCTCTTCATTAACAGCTATGGACATCGATGTTGCTTTAAACAAGGGGAAGGGGAAAGCTGTTGCCTCAGCATCTGAAGTGAATGAAAATAGTGGCCAGGAATACTTCACATCTATGGCAAAGGTCGTATTCATTTTAAAGCTCCTAACAGAGATTCTCTTGATGTATGGTCCATCTGTTCATGTTCTGCTTCGAAGAGATGGTGAAGTTAGCAGCTGTCGCAGCCCTGGCCAAAAGGGTCTTACTAGCCTCTGCGCTGGTGGAGTATTCCATCATATCCTTCATCGATTTCTTCCTTACTCAAGAAATTCTAAAAAGGAGAAAAAAACAGAGGTCGACTGGAGGCATAAACTAGCAGGCAGAGCTAGTCAATTTTTGGTGGCTTCTTGTGTGCGTTCAACAGAGGCAAGGAAGAGAATTTTTATGGAGATCAACAGTGTTTTTAATGATTTTGTTGATTCTTCTAAAGTTCATCGGCCACCAGGAAATGACATCCAAGCGTTTGTTGATTTGCTCAGTGATGTACTGGCTGCACGCTCACCTACAGGTTCTTCAATTTCAGGAGAAGCTTCAGTTACGTTTCTTGATGCTGGTCTGGTTGGCTCGCTCACACGAACCCTACAAGTGTTGGACCTGGATCATGCCGAGTCACTGAAGATCATTCCTGGGCTTGTAAAGGTCTTAGAGCTGGTGACAAAAGAACATGTCCATGCTGCTGAGGCTAATACTGGAAGAGGTGATAACACAACAAAAGCTCCTGATCATACTGAGCGTAGGCAAACTGAAAATATTGGTGATATATCCGAGTCTAGAGAAACTGCATATTTACCTAATGCAGGTTCTGCCCCTACAGAACGCATCGAGTCTTTTAGTACCGTTCAAACTTATCGTGGATCTGAGGCTGTTACAGATGACATGGAACATGATCAGGATATTGATGGAAGTTTTGCTCCTCCAAGTGAAGATGATTACATGCATGAAACTTCTGAGAACACAAGGGTTCTTGAAAATGGTTTTGATTCAGTGGGAATAAGATTTGAAATCCAACCTGATATTCAAGAGAGTATTGACGAAGACGATGATGAAGAAATGTCGGGGGATGAAGGGGATGAAGTTGATGATGAAGATGAAGAAGACGAAGATGGAGATGATGATGAAAACAATGATCTTGAAGAAGATGAAGTCCATCATTTGCCGCATCCGGACACAGATCAAGATGACCATGAGATTGATGAAGATGATTTTGACGAGGACATGATCGAGGAAGAAGATGAAGATGACGATGATGATGATGGCAGAGTTATACTAGGACTCGGCGAAGGAATGAATGGGATAAATGTCTTGGACCATATTGAGGTATTTGGCAGAGACCATGGTTTTTCTAATGACACTCTCCAGGTGATGCCTGTTGAAGTTTTTGGTTCTAGACGTCAAGGTCGTACGACATCCATCTATAATCTTCTCGGGAGAGCAGGTGACACTTCTGCTCCATCTCAGCATCCACTTCTGATGGAGCCTTCACGTTCAATTTCATCTCGACAAGCAGGTATTCTTGAGGGCGGTCTTAAGAGCCTCTCTCCTAATGCTTATTTTTTCTGTTATTAATTCCCTTCCTCGAGTATGGGCTTTATTCCTTTCCGTAACTGCTCTGTATTATGTTTTGACCATACTCACATCTCTTTTCCCCTCTAGGCTCTGTCCTTTGCTAATACTGGGATTTCTGTGTCCTTTAGATAATGTTCGTGATGGGTACCCTGAGAGAAATGCAGAGTCAACCTCTTCACGCTTAGACTCGATATTCCGGTCTTTGAGGAACGGGCGCCATGGGCAGCATGGACACCGTCTAAGCATGTGGGCTGATGACCAGCAAAGTGGTGGATCAAACGCATCTAGCATTCCCTCAGGCCTTGAAGACTTGTTGGTTTCTCATTTGAGACCCCCAACGTCAGGGAAGGCGTCTGGTCATGACACAATAGTGGAGGTTCAAACTAACAATGAGACTGGTCAGCTTCAAACATCAGCTGGATTGGTACCTGAAGCCACCACAGAGGACAATGGTAATAACAATCCCATTCCTATATCATTGAATAGCTCTCAAGATTCTGAAAGCACTCCCACAGTAGACGAATCTCGACGAGGCTCAGGTGCATTCGGTGCACATCCTCAATCTGTTGATATGCAGTCTGAACACAATTCTGTTTTGCGGGATGTTGAAGCTGTGAGCCAAGAAAGCAGTGAAAGTGGAGCTACATTAGGAGAAAGTCTTCGGAGTCTGGATGTTGAGATTGGAAGTGCTGACGGCCATGATGATGGTTGTGAAAGACAAGGTCCTGCTGATTCTCGATCAAGAAGAGCAAATGTATCACTTGGGAATACGACGTCAGTAAGCGAGAGAGAAGCATCTCTTCATAGCGTGACTGAGGTTTCGGAAAATCCTAGTCAAGAAACAGAGCAAGGTGATACTGCTCAGGATGCAGAACATGATGGTGGTTCTGGTTCTGCACAGATTGACCCTGCATTCCTGGATGCACTTCCTGAGGAGTTACGTGCCGAGGTTGTTTCCGGTCGACAGGGTCCAGTGACACAGCCTTCAAATACTGAACCACAAAATGGAGGAGACATTGACCCTGAATTCCTTGCCGCACTTCCACCAGACATCCGAGCAGAAGTTTTAGCACAGCAGCAGGCACAGGGAGCACAGCGGTCACAAGAATTGGAAGGTCAACCTGTGGAGATGGATACTGTATCAATAATTGCTACATTTCCTTCAGAAATACGGGAAGAGGTGGGTTTTTTGCCACATTCTGATTTTGGGTGTAATTTTTTAATGACGCTTTCTTCTTTCTACTCAGGTTCTTTTAACATCATCTGATGCCGTTCTTTCTAATCTTACACCTGCTCTTGTTGCGGAAGCTAACATGCTGCGAGAGAGGTTTGCTCGTCGCTACAATCGAACGCTTTTTGGTATGTTTCCCAGAAGTAGAAGGGGCGAGTCATCTAGAAGAGGTGAAGGAATTGGATCGAGTTTGGATAGAGCTAGTGGGGCCGCCACTACTCGTAGGTCAACTGGAAGTAAGCCCATTGAAACTGATGGAGCTCCTTTAGTTGACACAGAAGATCTTAGAGCGATGATTCGGCTGCTTCGAGTAGTTCAGGTAGCAATCTGGTATGGCTTGTTATCTTGCATATGTGCTCACAGTTTCTCATCAATCTGTTCTTTTTTGTTTGTTACCCAGCCGCTATATAAACCTCAGCTACAGAGACTGCTCTTGAATTTATGTGCTCACGTTGACACTAGATCTGCTATAATAAAAATATTGATGGACCTATTGGTCCTTGATACAAGAAGGCCCAGTAGTGACTTGGATGCTTCTGAACCCTCATATAGGCTTTATGCTTGCCAGAGTAATCTGATGTATTCTCGTGCTCAAAGTTTTGATGGTAAGAATGCTTTTAATGTTAGGTGATGTTTTGCTGCTGGTTATGGCATAATAATTGGTCCTAGGTCAGGTTTTAAACCTACCATAAGTTGCAAGATCTCAACACTTTGCAACTGTGTATGATAGCATTATCCTGTTATTGGAAAAACTAATTTTTCTTGCCCTTATTTTTAGGTGTACCGCCATTGGTGTCGCGGCGTGTTTTAGAAACTCTAACATATCTGGCCAGGAATCATAAATTTGTTGCAAAATTTTTGCTTCAGTTTAGAATCCGTCCAGCAGCTATTGAGGAGTCGCAAAGTCTTGATCAGGCTCGTGGCAAAGCTGTCATGATTGTTCATGATGATGAAACAGAAAAGCAGCAGTATCGAGAGGGTTTGTTGGCCATAACATTGCTGTTGAGCCTCTTGAAACAACCACTTTATTTGAGAAGTATTGCACATCTTGAGCAGGTAGTTACATGGTGAATGCCTATATGATAAAATTTCAAAATGCTGATGATTGTCTATGTTCCTGTTCTATTTGTGTTTCAGTTGCTAAACTTATTAGATGTCATCATTGATAATGCTGAAAGTAAGCAAGGGTTGGTTGAGCATGGGGAATCTCTTACTGAAGAAACTGCTCAGATGTCAACGTTAGATGCTGACATTAATGCAGGGGCTGCTGGGTCTGGCTCTGGCTCTGGATCTGGCTCTGATGCTAAACCATCCAAGGTTGATGATGCCCCTAAACCCTTATCCTCAGGTGCTAACAGAGAAAATGAATCTCATAATATTCTGCTAAACTTGCCACAACCAGAACTACGTCTTCTGTGCTCATTGCTTGCATGTGAAAGGTATGAAATTTTTGTGTCGATTCTGCATTCTAATTTGCTGCTTTTCATATTGGTTAGGTTTGATAACATGACATCTTCCTCTGCCCCCACCCTTTTTGTTTGCTCTTGCAGCCGCACTTGCATTATTGTAGTTCTTAAGTTAGTTCATCAGTTTTTCCTTAGGCGACACAAAAGATTGATGCTTTTCATTGAGCTTTTTATTGGTTTTTTGTTTCTTTTGAATAATTTTGGTAGACTCTTTTGAATCATTTTCATATGCCTACAATAGTTTTATTCCAAAAATGGCAACTTTGGTTTCTTACCAGTAAATATCATTTAGTCAACTTAAAAGTCCCTTTTTTGCTTAATCGCGTCCCAGTTTTCTCAAAGCCTTTCCCTATAGCGATCAAAATACAATGGCTTTGTATATTCACAACTAATTTGCTTTCGAAATGGTTTATGGATTTCGATGTACAATAATCTTTTTGTCAATGTTGTGCTAATAAGTATTCATTTCAGTTTGTCAGACAATGCTTATGCTCTTGTGGCTGATATATTGAAGAAGTTGGTTGCTATCGCTCCTTCTCATTGTCATTTATTCATAACTGAGCTAGCTGGTTCTATGAAGAACTTGACGACATTGGCAATTGATGAATTGCATGTGTTCGGGGAGATGGAGAAAGCACTGATCAGTACATCTGGTTCAGATGGAGCAGCAATCCTAAGGGTTATACAAGCATTAAGTTCACTCGTAGCTTCACTTAATCAAGAGAAAGAACAGACACTTCTTGAAAAGGAGCAAGCTGCTACCCTTTCTCTGGTAAATGACATAAATGTTGCTTTGGAGCCATTATGGATGGAATTGAGCACATGTATTAGCAAAATAGAGAGCTACACAGATACTACACCTGATGTATCTGCTTCGTCAATTATCTTAACGTCAAGACCTTCTGGTGCATTGCCTCCACTTCCAGCTGGTACTCAGAACATCTTGCCATATATAGAATCCTTTTTTGTAATGTGTGAGAAGCTGCATTTTGGGCAATCAGGTGCAGCGCAGGACTTTGGTGTGGCTGCAGTGCCTAGCACTGACGATGTCAGCACTTCTGACAACCAGCAGAAAACTTTAGGGGCTTGCGCAAAAGTTGATGAAAAGAATGTAGCTTTTGTGAAGTTCTCAGAGAAGCACAGGAAACTTCTCAATGCTTTTATCCGACAAAACCCGGGATTGCTTGAAAAGTCCTTCTCAGTTATGTTGAAGGTCCCTCGTTTTATTGATTTTGACAATAAGCGATCATATTTCAGATCGAAAATTAAGCATCAACATGATCATCATCACAGTGCTGTGAGAATATCTGTTAGACGAGCATACATACTTGAAGATTCATATAATCAGTTGCGAATGAGGTCTACACAAGATCTAAAGGGTAGGCTGACTGTTCACTTCCAGGGGGAAGAAGGTATTGATGCAGGTGGACTTACCAGGGAATGGTATCAACTATTATCGAGGGTTATTTTTGACAAGGGAGCTTTGCTTTTCACAACTGTTGGTAACGAGTCAACTTTTCAGCCAAATCCAAATTCTGTTTATCAGACAGAACACCTCTCATACTTCAAATTTGTTGGTAGAGTTGTAAGTGATTATACTATTCCCTCTTTTGATTACAACTTCCATCTTTTCATATGTCTTTGTTTTTCTCCTGTAGCTCACAATTCCCACATTTTCTAGGTTGGGAAAGCACTTTTTGATGGTCAGTTGCTTGATGTTCATTTCACAAGATCTTTCTACAAGCATATACTTGGGGCTAAAGTAACCTACCACGACATCGAAGCAATTGATCCAGGTTTTTTCAGAAACTTGAAATGGATGCTTGAGGTGCGTTCTACGTTCTTTATCCTTCTCGTATAAAATACGCTTCTAATGTTTATTAATGAACATATATTTCTAACTTTAGTTTTACATATTCAAAACCCATGTGCAGAATGATAATAGCGATAATTTAGATCTAACATTTAGTATTGATGCCGATGAAGAGAAGCTGATCTTATGTGAAAGAGCAGAAGTAAGAATTCTTAAGCTAACTCACCTTCACCACAATATATACGTGTGATTTGTGTATCAACATTGTAATTATAATCTTACACGGTACAGGTAACCGACTATGAACTGATCCCTGGTGGAAGAAATATTCGAGTTACGGAGGAAAACAAACATGAATATGTTGATCTAATTGCTGAGCATCGGTTAACCACTGCTATTCGCCCTCAGATAAATGCATTTTTGGAAGGTTTTAATGAATTGATTCCTCGGGATTTCATATCCATCTTTCACGATAAGGAATTGGAATTGTTGATAAGCGGACTTCCAGATATTGATTGTGAGTAACTTGATATTTTGACAATATTATCCTTGTCATCTCTATTTGAATCTTTTGCATTTCATATCCACTGTTCTAAATAGATTCTTTTATGTTAATGTAACTTTGTAGTGGATGACATGAGGGTGAATACCGAGTATTCTGGGTACAGTGCTGCATCTCCAGTTATTCAATGGTTTTGGGAGGTTGCTCAAGGCTTCAGCAAAGAAGACAAGGCTCGTCTTTTGCAATTTGTTACTGGCACCTCAAAGGTATCTTGTTCTGTGTGATTGTGACACTTCATATACACCATTTTGTTAATGTATATCTTGGCACCTGCATAAGTATCCTAATAATAATAGGGTACTTGGACCTTTTTGTTGTCGACAAACAATTGTTTTTGCAAACATGGGGTAAAAAGAACACACTTTTTATGATTATACAAACCAAACCAAACCAAACCAACTAGCCCGGTATATCCCACCTGGAGGTGTGGTCTGGGAGGGTAAGATGTGCGGCATACCTCCTCTACCTCAAAGAGTGTAGTGGCTGTTCCCGTGCCGGCTTGTGAAAAGTGTGAGAAGATTTTTGATAATTATGGAAATATATATGAAAAAGTTAACCAATCTTACTTGACGCTTTCTGTCAAACCACTCATTCTTGCATAGCATAATGTAATCTTCCATTTTCGCAAGAAAAATGGTTTGTTTGCATAAAAAAGCCTAGTACTATAGGTGGAAGAGTTGATACTCAAGAATAATTTGATTTTTTGACTTGTTTATTTTTGTTAGTGTGTATACCTTTTTTTAAGTCCGGGCCATATTTGCACAATGCAGGTGCCTTTAGAAGGGTTCAGTGCTTTGCAAGGCATCTCTGGATCCCAAAAGTTTCAGATTCATAAGGCATATGGAAGCGCTGACCGTTTGCCCTCTGCTCATACCTGGTAACCTTCTGTTTACTATTTATTAACTTTGTTAAAGATATATATATATATATATATATATATATATATATAGTCAGGTTCATACGAGAACATCAACCAAATAAGATAATAAGAAAACGGTTGACTCACATGTGATTTTACACTAAAATCACATGTAAAATGACACGTGATTTACACGACTTTGGCTGCTACGTGGCCCGCACACTCTTGCGTTGACTGTTGGTGTAAAATCAGATGTGATTTTGCATGTGATTTGACTGTTTTTGTGTTCTCTTATTCGGTAACTGTTCTCGTTTGAACCTTCCTCTGCTCTTTCCTTTTTTACTTCTCTGTTCCATGTATAAATCTTTCCAGATTTTGAATTGATTCAAAGGGATTGCAGTGGTAAATCTTGCTTATAAATAATTAATGCAACTGTTTTTAACATTTGGATGTATCATAATGAAAATGTCAATTATTTGGATGAAGAGACATTCATAGATTATAGTTCCACCGTTCATATTTAAATGCAAAGGTCTCCTTTTGTGGCAAAGTTCCAATCCGAAATTACCTATTTGCCCATTGGTAAACATTACAAAATATCCACAGCATTGATTTGGTTCACAAGATTTCTTTGTTTGTCATTTTTCAAGGTGATTTCAGATATTTGGCTTAGTAGAATACTTGTGTGCTTAGTCAAATAGAGGGAAGGGAACCTTGAGAACCTAGAAACCACATAATTTATGTAGTATTCATGATGAATAACCCCCAAAAATAATGAATATATTATTCAGTCATGAATATCTACAAGATTTACAAACTATTGAGTGTGTTTAAAAATATGCATCACTTAGAATTGTTAAAGAATCATTATTTATGTATTAAAAGAATGGTTGCTGAATGCAGTTTCAATCAGTTGGATCTGCCTGAATATCCATCCAAGCAACATTTGGAGGAGAGGCTGCTGCTTGCAATTCATGAAGCCAATGAAGGATTTGGTTTCGGTTAAGAGTAGAAAGAAAAATGTTGAAAGTGATGAATGTATATATATATATATAATATATATATATATTTATGTCACGGTCACAGGCATAACCCTTTAAAGCTCAGGTGAACAACATATATATATATATACACTGTACAGTTTGAGTTATAATTAACCCGGCATTTTCTTTTTCTTGCCAATTTTTTCGACTTATATTCTTTTACTTTTGGCTTTTGTCGAAAATGCCGTGCCAGAGGGTGTTCCAATGTGATATATGGAACAGGGTTCCCAAAGTTTTTGGAGTCCGATATACATGTTTAGTCTTTACTCGGTTATATGTGTTTAACCTCTAGCCCAATTATGCATGTTTTAGTCCGATTATAATGTTTTAGGCTTTTACCCTTTTAGCTGATTTGGCATTTTTCGTTTAGAGTTTTTTAAAAAATGTTAGAAGAATGATTATTGGTTAGTAAGGGGCCGTTTACTAAACGCTTGCTTGGTAAGTGCTTACCGGATAAATTTTCTCATCGGATGAACATGACAAGGGCTAATAATTGTACTGGGTAAGAGCGATGAGAAAGATGTAGAGTCTTACCCGGTAAGTGAAGATGACGACTCTTACCCAAGTAAGTGCTTACCCGGTAATTCGATACGTTTTGATGTACTAAAATCTTACACATCAAGGTAAATTATAGTGTTGACTCTTATAGATAAACACTTACCAGGTAAGCATTTGGGTAAACAGCCCCTAAGCTTTTTCAATATAATACATGGTATGAGCTTTTATATTTATTATTCTTTTAGTTAATCTGTAGTAGTCTTGTTACAAGGATAACAAGGCCTCCAAAAGAATTAATAGAACAACCCTGTTGTTGAAATAGTCAATCGTGCTTATTTATCTAGGCCGATAAGAACCCGAGTCAGTATGAGCTAGCGCAGTGCTCCAACCTTAATTTTCTTCTCTTTATATGAAATATTCCATCTGTTCCAAAATAAGTGTTTACTTTCAAATGTAAATGTCTACTCTCATTCTACCTTTAATTAGGAGAAAATTTCTCTATATAATTGAGGGTAAAATTGTCTCTTTGTTAATTAAGAAGTGTAATGTTAAAATTGAGTGTATGCATTTATTTGTTTTGGAAGGGTCAGCAATAATATAGTAGGAAAATCTTCTTGTGGGAAGTAGATCAAATGTTTTTATTGAAGGTAATTTTATTAATCAATGATACAAACTAAAAGAGTTGTTTGTTTACATCTTAATAGTTCTATTAAGAGGTAACCTTTGAATTGTTAAAGGGTGAATCTTGTTTGAAAAAGAAAATATGTTTTTAATGGTTGTATCATGAGCCTTTCTTAACCATTAAATGCCTAATTTCATTGTAAACAATTGCTAAACAATTATATTTCATTTTAGACTAATATCATGCAAACTTTTAATCATTCTGCATCAAATCATTTAACAAACAACTGGTTTAACTTTTTTTTTCTTCCATGGGCAGCATAAAGTATAATTACAAGATAGTATATGTTTGTAGGTACAAAGGACTACTTTTTTGACACATCCTGATTAAAAAATAGAATTTTAATATTTTAAAGGTATCGATAAAACCTATTTAATTGTATAATTTATAAAATAAATATGTAATTTTGCTAACAATTAAATATGACAAAAGTATAAAATAAAAAACAGAAAAAAAAGTTTATAAATTAAAAACATTAATTTTTTTAAAGATCAAAACTGTAACTAAATCGACAACCACCATATAAAACCACCAAAGATTTTATTTCTTAAATTTTCATATAAACCCCAAAAATATATTATGGTTTCACAACAAGAAAGTGAGAAACTTACAATTTCACAAATAAAGAACTTAAAAGAATTACAATTAATCCCTAAATGTTTATGGTTTTACAGTCAAAAACACACCCTGAAGGGTGGTTCCGCCCTTTGCGTTACCAAATGCTTATCAATCAGAATCACCATCTCCACCTACTTTATCGAATAACATTATCGACAATTAAAATGAATTGTTGGTAAGTAATATAGTATTCAAGTGAAAGGAAGACCAAAACACAATCTCAAATTTACCAAATGATTCGATAAATCGGTTGCATCTTGCAAAAAGAACACTGCAACGAACACTAATTAATTATTCCTCGATATATATATATATATATATATATATATATATATATATATATATTATATTATAAAATATTTGACAAAAACTCTTAAAACCCATTTTTATGCACAAAGTACGATTTATTGATGCATATTACTTAAAATTTAAAATTACAAGTAAATCGTGCATAATGTACAACTTATTAAAGCTCCATATTTGAATTCTTATAAATAACTGCAGATAAACATACTTAAATATTGAATAAACATCTAATTTTAAATATAAAAAATCTAAAATATAATTAAGATAATCATTGAGTTCTAGAATACTTAGTTATTATCTTTATAAAAAAATATATTTTTAAATCTAAATTAATTTTTTTTCTTACTAAACCTAAATTAAATTGTAAAAAAAAAATGAATTAAGGAAATTACATCAAAACACAATCACTTTTAAAAAATTAATTTGAATCTAATATCGATATATTTTATTCAAAATTTTATAATATTTTCAAATTTATATTTTATTCAAAAATAAAAACATTATCGTTTTCTCAAAATCACATAAAACCGTATTATATCGACATAAAAAAAAATAAAACGAAACACTGAATTCAAGATGTGTCTCGATGCATTAATTGCATGAGTACCCTTCTAGTATAAGTAAATAACTAACTCAAGCCATCGAGGTCCCGGATGCGGAGCCAGCTTTGCGGCATTCGATAAGCATGTTCATGTAAAATTGGCAGCGGCTGATATCGTTCGCAGAAGTGTCGAGGCACTGCCAACAAACATAAATCAAACCATTTGATCCATATAATCAATCTAAAACTACAACTACTCTAATTACCTCTTTTTATGTAAATACAATTCATCTAAGGGCCGTTTACCAAACACTTACTCGCTTACTGGTGAAATTTAACACTATCATTTACTTACCGTATGCAACAATTTACTCGGTAAGCGCTTACCATGGTTTTAGTCGTCGTCTTCACTTACCGAGTAAAACTCTTGGTCCTTGTCTCGCTCTTATCGGATAAGATTCTTGGTCCTCACCATATTCATCGGGTAAGGTAATGTGATTTGGTGTTCACTTACCCAAGTAAGCGTTTGGTAAACAGTCCCTAAGTTTCTTTTTAATTAGTTAAAAAGACCGTTATTTTTTTGAAGTGGACAGTTATTTTAAGATGGATCGGAGTAATAAACAACTTACATCTTGGAATGCCTTGTGTTGCCCAACACACGCATCGAGATTGGCGGTATTAGCAGCGGATGGCGTAACCGTCTCAAGCTGGATAACACGAGGACCCATCATACTGTCCACTGCCCGATGAGCAACCGCATTTCCAGCACCAAAGGCCATGCCTAAATAACAACCATATAACTTCTTTAATTTCAGTTCCCCTATCATATGATGCATTTCAACTACATACATATATATGGAATTGGTTAACTTACCTTCAGCAACAACAGAACCAAGTCCTCCAGTAGTAGGTCTACTCTGCTGAGGTGCAGGGGATGGAGCTCGAGTAGGAGCTGCAACAATAGATCATTGAACAACAAATTAAATCCACACCCATTACCAAAACAAACGAACCCAATATATCTCATTCCCATTTGAGATGGGGCTTAACAAGGGTAAGATGTGACTCTGCCCCTTAGGATAAAGGAGCTGTTTCCATTAAGACCCCAGATAGAAAATGAGGAACGATAAAGATTTGAAATGCCGCTTAAGAGAAAGCAAAAGCATACAAATAGAGGTCGGTACAAGAAAAGGATAACCAATTTGATGAAACTATTGAAACCACTTGTTGGATGGAAAGGCATTAAAATGACATAGGTATAGTGATTATGATCATACCTTCATATATACTAAAAACATATTAAAATTGTATTTAGAATTAGCACAATTAGTTACAAAGGGCACCAGAAATATGGACAAACATTCAAAAAGATAAATGCATACACTTGGCTGGCTGGGGAGCTGGACGTGAAATAGCACCGCTTGATCTTCCTACGATATAACAATTCGATGGGTTAATAATCCATAAGCAAAACAAACTAGGGAATCAGCCGGATGGCATATCCTACCTTATTTGGTGACAAAGAGAGACAGCTTAATGCATGGAAAAACAAGAGAACAACCCTTAACACACATGTATATATGTTACATTTATCAGAATTTAAGTGAGTACATTATTTACTTTAGATGACCTTCAGAAATGGGGTCAACAAATTCACATCAATCGATCACATAGTAACCAAGAGAAACCTAACTACATTGTTACCAATGTTTCATGAGGTTTACGCACAAGGTTTACTAATGTTTCATTAGGTATAGCAAGAAATAATCAAAACCCTAATCACTTGCAAATTTGTGATGCATGTATGTAAATTTGACGTTAATATTAAAGCGTACAGATTAATCGCGTGATACGTAACAAACGAATTTGAGGATTTTTCTTTTTGTAAGAAAAGCAACATTATTGCATAAAAACGACTCAAACTTGCAAACCGTTATGTCGGATTTAGGCGATCGATCAAATAGATTCATATAAAACTTACTACATCAACTACCAGATAATTATAGGGAAAATAAAACTACCAGAAAATTGAACTACAGAAAAATCACTAGAAAAATAAACTACAAATTGTACGTAAAACATAAACAAAACCCTAGAATCAGATCGTCGGCCAAACTAAGGTAAAAGCATCACAAAGAAATGAAGAATGCTGCAAGAAGATCGATCATATTATGGTGAAAACCAAACCAAACCAGACCAAATCAAAGCAAAATAAAAATGCACGATACAGAATTATACATTTTTATCACTCAAAATAACGAATATTCCTAACAAAAAATTTGAAATGTGCATGTCTGAGAGAGAGATTTACCTCGAGAGCGAGCCATTAATGATCGAGATCAAGAAGATGAAAATTGCAGAAAGAGATTAAAGTTAAAGATGACAATAATTTGATGAAGAAATGTGAATGGAGTGTGTGTATTTATAGTAAGCTTTTCTTGGCGATCACGTATTGCTGCTGGTATTTTTCGGGACGATTAATTATTATTAGAGTAAATTACTTTTTTAGTCCCTGTAGTTTATTGAATTACAGTTTTCATATATATGGTTTATAATTCATCACCTTTTTCGTCCCTATGATTTAAAATTTATTGCTTTTTTCGTCCCTATTTCTATTTTAGTCTATTATACTTAAAAGTATCGTTTTGACCTCATAGAAGAAAATAGAAATGAATTGCAAACTATAAAAATAAAAATCGAAAGTTTTGAAACCACAGGGATAAAATCCACAAATTATATGAAAGAAAAATATAATTTACTATTATTATTATTATTTATTATACGATTTCTTTTAATTACATGTATTGCTTATGGTATTTTCTTATAGTTACAGTTACCCAACACTTATCACGTAAGCGTTTACCAATAAGATTCAGTATTATCACTTAATTATGGCCAACCACATAAGGTTTTAATCCATTAAAACTGCATCGTATGCAATAATTTACTCGTTAAACGCTAACCTGATAAGAGTCATCACCTTTACTACCATGTAAGACTCTCGGTTCTTGCCATCATCCTTACAGGGTAAGATTCTCGATCTTTTCCATGTTAATCCGGTAAGGTAATATAACTTAGTAATAAACATTTGGTAAGCGACTCCTAAATAGCTAAATTGGTAGGTCCCTTTTCCTGTTTTCGTCCCTCGATTTAATTTATATTATAAATTTGTTCTTAGATTATACATTTTGCTATGAATTTGGTCAATGTCATTAACGTGGTTCATCTCTTATTGAGTAAATAGTAGACAACATATGTTTATATATATATATATATATATATATATATATATATATATATGGGCCTAATAAAATGAGAACCAATTAGTTTGTGGTAACTGTGAGATTCAATATGAACAAATCATTTTATTATATTAATTGTATTACTTTAATTAAGAAAAATGGTGTATTAGTAATTTTATTAATATATTTTTTAACGGTTATCAATTAAAGAGATTGATACTGTTTCCTTATTAATCAAACAAATTATTGAAGTTTTTTTCTATGAAATTACAATTGAGAAAATAAATATATAATTCTTTACTGTTAAAACTTATTGGGTATCACAGTGATATCACAGTTGTATTCAACAACCATATTTGGTATCATAGTGTGTATCACAATGTATTTTTGTCGTCATACGAAGTGTATCACAATATATTTTTGTTGTTTTACGAAGTGTAACACAATATATCAAGTAATTTTTTTTAACCAAATGTATCACACTGTGTTTTTTTGTTATTTTATGAAGCCTATCACAGAGTGCATCATGTGTTGATATGGTGTTCTTGGAAAGATGAGGTGTTTGACGGAGAGAGATGAGAGTTGAGAGGAGAGAGAAGAGAGGGGGGAGGAGAGAGAAAAAAATCTAGAATGACTAAAATGACCCTAATTAATATTTTAATTTAAAATTACTAAAATTATTAATTTCCTAATTTAACCATTGATTTGTGGTTGAGATTAGATCTCACAGTTAACATAAACTAATCAGTTCTACTCGAATGGATTCATATATATATATATATATATATATTGTAACACCCCCATACTCCACATTTGCATAGAACATATATTTCATTACATAGAAATAAGAATTACATCACAAGGTCCCACTAGTACAAAGATTTCTATATGTACAAAATCTACATACAAAATTTTCTAAAACAAATCCTGTACTACTACATGTAATATAACATGTATTTTCAAAAGCAGGAAACAGATTAGGAAAATTATCACATTTTCCCTTTCCCTTTAATATCCCCGGACCCCGCTACTCCTGCATTGCAATATTTTAAACAGAAAATGAGGGTTAGACCATACGGGTCTAGTGAGAAAATCTCTTCCTTGCATATGCAGGGTGATGAACACCAAAATGATAATAAATATTTGAAGCAGTTTACAATACTATACAAAAATAATGTAAACTCAAGAATCACAGTTCCATAAAATATTTCTAATTCAATATATATTGTTTTTCCACAAAAATAAAACAATACCAACACTTCTTGAATTATCAAATCATCTCATAAAAAGATTTAAGGCCTGATATGACAAACCATTTTCCCCTTCTCAATAACATCTAAATTATTATTGCTAATAAGAATAATATCCTTAATTCATCAGATCACAAAGAAATGATGATTCAAAGTTATTAAATCTAATTAGTAACAATAACAAGAGTTATAATATTATCCCCATATGACAATGCCACCCTTATTCCAAGTACACCTCTCCTTAATATGTCACCCTTATTCCTCCATTAAAACAGAGCTACTTATCAGAACAGACATAAGTCACCACGTTTGAAAGTACTTATTCCCAGTTCCAAGCCAGAACAGACAAAAGTCACCACGTCTGGGGGAACTACCATTTAAAACTCACTTCCATACCAAAACAGACTTACGTCACCACGCTTGGTAGGAACATTTATATAAAATAATCATTTTATGAATCATAAATAAATAAACATTTATAAAAATAATTCCGAATAGACCGCAGCCATTGGAATTGTTATTAATCCAAAATTATTTATATCAAAACTTCATTTTATGATAAAATAACAATTTTCATCAAAACACATAAATATACTCAAATCCGGTCAACAATCCGGTCAACAAATCCGGTCAACAAATCCGGTCAACAATCCGGTCAACAATCCGGACAATAAACCTCTCAAATTAATCCGGACAATAAACCTCTCAAAATAAACCTCTCAAGCTAAACCTCCCAAAATAAACCTCTCAAAATAAACCTCTCAAGCTAAACCTCTCAAAATAAACCTCTCAAAATAAACCTCTCAAAATAAACCTCTCAAAATAAATCTCTAAAAATAAACCTCTCAAGCTAAACCTCTCAAAATAAACCTCTCAAAATAAACCTCTCAAAATAAACCTCTCAAGCTAAACCTCTCAAAATAAACCTCTCAAAATAAACCTCTCAAGCTAATCCGATTTAAAACTAATCCGGTCAAGTTTTGTCCGGATAATACTTAAAACGAAATAAACATGCTCGCTTCAAATAAGAACAATACGAAGCATATAATTGAAACCAGTAGAATTTTGATACAAAAAGATTTAGAAACCACTCACCTTAAAAAGCTTTTGAATCCAAAACTCTTGAAATCAATCCTTTGAARTCCAATCCTTGCAAAAGCTTGAGATCACCTCTTTTAAATAAACCGGACAACCCTACCCTTTTTAAAACACTCTCCTAACTCCAAATAGCCAAAAAATAACAAATGAGGAACTAGGTTCCTATTTATACTAAGCCAAATGGTGGAAAGTCGGCTAATAATCCTTCCACCTCATGCATAACTAACTTATTCAYATCCACACATCCATGCACACCTCATCACACACTCTGCACATAATGCATGCATATGACTCCACGCATGCACAACCCAAACCACATATATATCTTATTATATACACACCTATATACACACACACACATATATATATATATATATAATCACATAAATATGTATATATATATATACACATAACCATTTATTCAATTAATACCCAAATTCACATACCAACATGTATCAATTACCATGTTACCATGTAATAAATTAATCAAATAATCACGTATTAAATACTTGGGGTAATAACTGGAATCTGAGTCATTACATATATATATATATATATATATATATATATATATATATAAGGGTACTCGCATAATGCAACAAGATAAATCTCGATTTTAATGTTTAGCTTTTATTCTTTGTCTCTTTCAATATAATACAATTTTATGTGATTTTGAGAAAGTGATAATGTTCTTATTTTGAATGAAATATAAATTTGAAAATAACATAAAAAATTGAAAAAAATATAAATCGTTATCAATATCAAATTAACTATTTAATACTTCTTATTTTTTGGTGTAATTTCTTTAATTCAATTTTTTTATTATAATTTAATTTAGATTTAATAACAAAGTAATTTATTTTTGGTTTAACAATATAATTTTTTTTATAAAGATAACAATTAAACATTCTGTTAGAACTTAACGACTATCTTAATTATATTTTAGATTTTCCATATTTAAAATAAATGTTAATCATGTATTTGATTATGTTTATTTGTAGTTAGTTACACGAATTTAAAAATAGAGCTTTAATAAGTTGTACTTACGTAAAATTACTTGTAATCTTGAATTTTAAGTAATATGCATCAATAAACAGTATTTTATGCATAAAAATTGGTTTTTAAGAGTTTTATCAAATGCTTTATAATA